TTCAATACATCATAAGTAAAATATATATTGTATAATGGGAACGATTACTTTTACTTAAGTTCGGTTCGATTTCGAACTCTAATATTAATTGTTCATTCGAAATTTCGTCCTTCAATTTTATATCTTTCGAACAAATAAAAAATTTTTTCTATTTCAAATACTTATTTTAGATTATATTTCATTACAAAAATAAATTTTAATTTCTTCAACTTACTCTTAAATCATCTCCAATTTTATAAATTGAATAATATTTTTCACATGATGAATCAATTGGATTAAAAACAAGTTTAATTGGTACTGTTAATGAATTATAAAATGAACATGAATTAACATCAATACTATTTGTCATAAAATTAAATTGACATGGTAAACGACATGTTAATTTACCCGAATGAAAAAATCTATCATTAAATTCTTCTAATTCTTCAATTAAAAATTTTGATTTATTATTTGTTTTATTTGTTTTTAATTCTATACCAATACGTTTTAAATTTAAACATAAATCATATTCATTTTGTAATTCTAAACGAAAATTTTCTTCTAATACATAAAGTAATGATAAAAATAAATAATAATAACGTATATAATGTAAATGTTCTGTTATAAGTAATTGTCGTAAAAGCCAATATAATTTATGTGCTAAATTATAATCAATTAAACATTGTTTAAGTAAATATTCAATAATAATTGATGAATGTGTATAATCAAATTTAATTATTTGTAATAATTGTGGTAAATAAACAAGAAGATCTTGTGATTTTAAACGTGATATTAATGATCGATATGCAAATGAACGTATATGCATATCAGGAAAAGCTGGTAATAAAAGTTCAAATGATTCAATTTCATCTATTGTATGATCATGTGTTACGTCATTAATAAGTCCATATATATCAATTAAACTTGGATAATCCCATACACAACGAGATTTAAGTAATTTTGGTAATGCATATGGTTTATGAATTACAAAATAACGATGAGACCAAAGAAAATGACATTCATCTTCAGAAAATTCACGTTCTAAATATGAATAGATTTTAGATTTTTATTTAATCGTTTTTATAAAATAAAATAAAAAATGTATTTTACAAAGAAAAATAAAGAATTTCATCATGAATAATTACTATTGATTATTTTATTTTCGAATCAATATCATAATTTAATGTATTTACCAATGATATAATACTAATAAATCGTATTTTTGATGGATACTTCTATATGTAGCTAGCTCATGATAAAAACATTAAATTTTTAGAAGACTTTTTTCTTTTGAGAATTTTTTTTATTCACAATTGATTACCTAATCAAAATTCGATTAGAAATTTCATTAAATTAACACTAATAAATTAGTTGAAATGTACTTTTCTATTTTTTCATACCTTCATCTGATGTATTTGATGAATATTGTTGTTTACGATTATCATTTGTTGTCATAGCACTATGATCAACTAATATTAAACTTGGTCGTTTAAGTAATCGACATAAATTTTCTTGTTTATCACGACTCATTTCAGTAAAATTTCCTGGATGTTTATCATTTCGAGCTTGAACATGTGGCCAAACAAATGATTGATCAAGAAATGAAACACTTAATATTGGACAATTACGTTCAAAAACATTTCGTAATGAATAAAAACCTGTACGATTTGTTGTTAATGCATCAAATATACCTAAATAACGTTCACCTGTAATAAGATAATGTTCATCATCAAATAATGCTTGTGAACACCAACCAATAAGACGCATTGGAATTCCATCAAATGTTTCACATATTGATGATGATGATGAATCAATTTCATCATTATAACTTGCATAAATTTCAAATAAAAGAAGTGTTTCACGTTGTAATTCACAAAGACGTGCATCATCAAATGAAAGCCATTGATCAAAACGTATTTGTGGTTTAAGTGAAACATTTTCACTATGATAAGTATTACGTACAAATGACATTGATCGTGTTGTTTGTCGTGCTTTTGTTTGATTTCCATAACAAAGACGAGCACTAATACGAACTGATTTTATATTTGATATTGATGGTAAAGAAAATAGACTATCGATATAAACTTGGAATGTATCAAATGATTCATTGATTGAATGTGATATTTGACTCTTTTTTGTTGGCTATAAACAAAAAAAAAATAAATAATAATAAAGAATTATTGAATCAGAATGGATAAGTTATGCAAAAAAGAAATTTATAAATGTCGCTCATTTATTAAATTGTTGAATTTTCTCTTTTCAATTAGGATTTAGTTAACCATCTCTACCAAAAGAAGAGTTTATCGTAGTGGCGTATCCAGGATTTTTCGATATGCTGGATTTCAACTTCAGACCATGGGACCCACGTGAAACTTACAGAGATATAATATTGGGTCCAAATGATGAGTTTTTATCAAAAGATTTTTGTAATGGAAGTTTGCGAAAAAAATTAGCATTTTTCTGAGCCCCGCCAAGATTTTTCTTTTTCTATTGGTAGTATCTTGATTTTTAGAATTTAATAGTAAGCTACATCGAAATTCATCGGCAGATTTCAAATTTCATCTAAAAATATGTGTCTGTTCACGAGTTACAATGTTTTGAATTTTTTCTAAAATTTTAGCAGCATGCAGCAAATTTCCAAAACATTATAACTCGTGAATGGATGCATATTTTTAAATGAAATTTCAAATCTATAGATGAATTTCGATGTAGCTTACTATTAAATTCTAAAAATCAGAATACTACTAATAGAAAAAGAAAAATCTTGGTGGGACTCAGGAAAATGCTAATTTTTTTCGCAAACTCTCATTACAAAAATCTTTTGATAAAAACTCATCATTTGGGCCTAATATCATATCTCTATAAGTTTCATCTGGGTCCCATGGTCTGAAGGTGAAATCCAGCATACCGTAAAATCCTGGATACACCACTACTCTTAGGCCTTCTGTCCACAGTTATAGGCATTTTACTGCAATTTTAGTCTATGGTATAGTATATACGAAATATCGAATGGCAGTATTTCGAGCTGTGATTTAGCCCATATATAGGCCTATTGCTGAGTAAGATGTTCTGAAAATTTCAATTCTAAAAAATGTTTCGTTCTCGAGATATTGGAGTCTCAAACAAATAGAATATTTTAGTATTGGTCATGGGATATGAGTGATTCTTGAGACTCCCATATCTCGGGAAGGAAACGTTTTTTTCGAACTGAGGGTATATATCATACCATAGGCTAAAATTGCAGTAAAATGTCTATAACTCTGGAGAGGAGGCCTAAGAGCAGGTTCTCTCGTAAGACGACGGTCAATTAGTGAATACTAAACAGTAATAGAAAAGTCTATGATTATTTGGTTTTTCGAGCTTTCGCTCGTGAGGCATCGAAATTTCACTAGATCAACACTTGGGAATGTTCTTTCATTAAGTAATATAGCCTATATGTCACAAAAACACCTATGCCAAGAGTCATGAATATTGTTCAACACAGATTATAATTTTATACACTTAATTTAAGTCGATGTCAATGTTCCGTTGAAGTGAAATACTAACTTAAGAATAAAACTGAACAAAATTGAATTCTGTATAAACATCGAGATTTGAATATACTTTTCCCATTGTCAATATCACTTTTGAAATTCTATTATAAATCTTCGTATTGATTTTTTAATATCAAATGAAAACATTGACTATCAAATACTAGACTTCATCTTTTTATATTATGAATTTTTTATAGTTCTCTTGCGATATTTATTTTTTGAAAATTCATTCGAAATTTTTCTTACAATATTATTTCATCTCAAAACATCAACTAATCATTGTACACTCTATATTAATATATTAATTAATTTTTGAAAGATCTCTTATCATCTGGTTTTTTTTCTTATTAAATACTAAAGACGTCATATATATATATATATGTTACATTTACCGTATATTTTAATTGTTCAATATCAATTGACAAATTTTTATCATTATAAATTTCAACTTCATAAGGAATAAGATATGCATGACAATAAGTTTGTATATAATTAACAAGTATAACAAGTGTATCATAAAGTAATCGTGTTAATTTTTCATTTATTTCTAATGATGTTTGTTGTTCATGTTCATGATGTGATTTTCTTATTAATTGATCAGCAAAATTTTTTAAATCACGTTGTTTATCAATAATTAATGATGATTGTATATATGAACAAGTTACTTGTATATTTTTAATAAAACCTATTAATTCATTAATTAATTTTATTTGTTCATTTATGGATAATATTGGTTGATGAAATTGAACAAGACGATTAAAACGTTGTTCAATTTGTATAAGAATTAAATTAATATCTTTTTGAAATTCTTCTAACCATCGAGGATCAGATGCAAGAAATGGAGCATTTGATGAATGTGCTATATGAGCTTGATGTGAATATGTTGCTTGTTTATGGAGATTTAAAGATTTTGATTGACGAACAGTTGATAATCGATGTGAATTTCTAAGATATTAAATTGTATATTGAATTAAAATACAAAAAAATCTTATATAATAAATTAAGATAAGATTTTTGTTTTACAAGTTCATTTTATACAATTACGAGAGTCATTAGAAAATTCAAAATATTAGATTAGAAATAGATTTTTATTTTCTTTGCAAATATATATATTTGAAGTTTTTATAAAAATCATTAAATTAGGAATTAGTCGCAGAAGAAATTAGAATTTAGTAAAAATCTAAAAATTTCCGTAGGATCAATCAAAATTTCATTTGAAATTCATTTCTAATTTTAATTTATCTTAGGAAAAATTTTAAATAATTCTGAATTTTAGTTTCTTCTCCAATGTTTATTTCTAGTTATTTTAATTTAGAAAGAAAATGAATAAACTATTGCAATCATTAACAAATATAAAATTATATTTGCTGTAAAAGAAAACTAATGTAGTTAACGATGACACAGATTATTTGTCTATTTTAGTAACCCGTGAACAAGTTCGAGTCACGGTCGTGTCCTTAACCGTGACTGTAAGTCACGGTCATCATGTCTAGCACGAGTCATGATCAATAATAATGCTTTTATTAAATACTTTGTATTACTAATTTTTTGTTTTTGCATGGCGTGAGGAGTCAGACAGTCTTCGACAAAATGATCTAAGAACTGAAAATCTTATTGCAAGTCTTCAAAAATAATGGAACTGATTCTGTAAATTCTGCAATTACAAAAGTTTTGAAGACGTCAATACTAAAAAAAAAAAAGAATGTTATTATCAATAGGAGTGTCATAGAAAACTAATGATTAGAATATAATTTCGTTCAGAAATGTTTCTTCTTTCATTTGACTTATTTCGAATAAATTTTACTTCTATCTTGAATAGCTTTTTTTTGCACATTAAAACTCGTCCGAATTTTTGTTTTCAAAGGTTCACTCATCATATCTAACCTATAAGTCCTACACAAATTGTAAATATCATATTCAAAAGGATCAGTCAAAGCAATTTCGTTCGATAGAAATAAATTCAAGAAAAAAACACATCTTATTGCTAATTCTCATTGAACTAAAACTACATTCTCAGTGTTTTATCTAGATTTCGTTTCCCGACTGGGCGAGTCGAAATTTCGGGTGGGCAGGGCCCACTCGGCCCATCCAGCAGACGAATGGCTACTCTATATTTTCGAGTGGGCGAATTAAAATTTCGGGTGGACGGCGCCCATCCAGTAGATAAATCACTGTACATTCTATCGATAGTGATTTAACAAAAAAAAAGTATACCTGTGTTTTTTATCTGTTTGTGATCTATTAGAAATATCCAATGATGATGTTAATGTATTATGAGTTTTTTCTTGTTGACTTAAACAAAATTGTTCGAAACTTATATGATTTAATTTTTGGTGCTTTTGATATCCATATGTAGGTTTTTGTACAAGTACAAATTGTAATTGTTTTAATGAATTAATACAATTATAAACATATTCAATATCACATAAAACATCATCATTACGTAAATATTCTTCACGTGAACGTAATTTAAGTATAGATTGATCATAATTAAATGATGTAATTTCAAGTAATTGATATAATATATGTGATACTGTTGATTGTAAACTTATATTTGTTAAACGTTTTGGTTCTTTTGAACCATCAACAAATATATATAATGTTACAGGTAATTGTTTTTGTTCAATATGTTGTGGTGTTAAACGTTGAACACGTTTACAATAAATTATTTCATCTGTTGTCGTCTAATAAAAAGAAATATTAATCAATTTATTTTGAATCTTTGTTTATTTTAATAAGAAAAACTTTATCTTCAAAATAATATATTTAATGTATAGAGTTTTTTGTTTTTTTAACTAATTCAGATATTTCAGAATGAGAATATCAATTATTTTAATATTGTCATCTATTCAAAAATAATTGATAGTCAATATTGATCATATATACAAACAAATAACTTTATTTTCCTAAGATCTGAAGAAAAATATAACAAAATTACAGAGTGATTTTTTTATATCAGCAGTAGCTCATATATTTGTAGTGTATATTTTCTGAAAGAATCAACTTTAATTCGAAGTTAACGCTTTTTTCCTATCAAAGTTTAAGTAGTACATAGTAGAGTTCTCCATCACTGGATTTTATAAAAAAAAAATTAGAAAACAATAAATTAACCGCTACTCATCGATATTATTTCGTAGATTCATTCTATGTTCAAATACTTTTGTATTTTTAAAACTATATTTAAAGAATTATAGTTTCGTAACAACTCAGTTTGTTACTAAAGCGAGTTAAACAAAATCAATTTTAGTATGTTTTATCTTAGATGACAAGTTTACAATGGAATGAAGTGCTACTAAATGGAAATATTCTAGTTGAATCTTATTGAATGAGAAATGTTTCGATTATATTTTATTGAAACTTCTGCAATCGGATTTCAACAATACAATTTATTCGTCCTAGACAGATTGAATATGAATTTATTAGAAAAATAGTATTTCAAATAGTATCTAATTACTTTTGACTAATATGATTATAATAATTTCTTATACCTGTTTACTTTGATTTTCATTACGAATACGTTGAACAAGAAGGCTAAATGGTTTTATTTCAGGAAATATTGTTAATTTTAATCGTAATTGAATTGGATATGGATATGAAAGCGATGATGTTGATGTTACTGTTGGTAGTATTGATGTTGTTGGAGTTTCACTACTTGGTGTAACAAAAGGTGGTGTAGTTGCATCTGTTCCAGCTTGATATAATTCTGATGGCCATGAATGTGGTCGATTTGGTTGTTTTAATGGATCAAATAATTCAAAAACATTACCAGATAATAATGTAGGTGATGAAGAATCTGTACCCATATCAATTAAATTTGGACCGTCAATATGTTTATGATTCGATGTAGAATCTGTTGTTCCTTTTGCAAAAAAAAAAGGTACTTGTTCAAAAAAAAAAAGAATCAAAACAAAGAAACATTTTACCTATATTTATTATGTTTTCTGAATTTTTATTTTTTAACTCTTCTTTTTGTTCCATATTAAATGTACGAAAAAAATTTTTATCTAATATGTCTTGTTCGGGAGGTTTAAATTGAATATTTTTTCTTAATAATGCTTGTACTGGTGGAGGTGGTAGAGGTGGTGGATGTCTTAGATAATTAAACATATTTGATTGAGGAAAACGTGTTTGATTAACTAATCTTGGTGTATGAAAATTAGTTGGTGATGATGATATTGGAGTTGTAGATAATGATGATGATTTTTGTACTTCATTAGTTCCATTAAGAAAAGGTCGTACAGGAAGATTGAAATGTGATATATTTGATAACCGAGAATCTCGATTATTAGAAGGTAAGCAATCTGATGATGTCATTGCTGTATTTAAAATAAATGAAAGCAAAACAATCGAAATCAATAAATGAATAATCTATGAAAATGTCAATGTGAAGAAGAAAAAAAAAAGCAAGTTCAAGATCTTGACGAGACGTTTTTTTATAAAGTAAATAAAATGTTTTATTTACTTTCTAGCAATGTCGTGTTGTCTTTTTTTTGCACTTATTCAAACGCACTATTTTTCTGTTTTTGTGATTTGAATACAATATCGAACTATACCTATATGACATACTTTTGTATATTACAAAATCCAATCAAGATAAACAACAAAAGGAGAGAATACGAAAAAGAAAATAAAAAATCATTGTAGCAGATGTTATTTTGCTATAGAGAATCAAATAACTTAATCTATACGAGAAAAAAAAAGATTAGAATGTAAAACAAAAAAATGAAAATGAACAATTATCTCTAGTTAAAAAATCTTCAATCAGTAAAAAAATAGAAAAAGACAATTAAGCATCATTTGATTTTTGTTTTTCTTTATTATTCAGGGATCGTGATTAGATGAGAGGATCGTTATAAATGACGGCACGTATACATAGAAAAAAGAAAAGAAAAAAGAAGAGAAGAAAAAAAAAAAAAGTATTTTTCAATGGGCATAATACATGATCGAATGACAATAAGATAAGATATAGATGGCGTTTTTTCAAAAAACTTAAATTCTTCTTGTTAATTAGATCAGTTTTATAATAATTATATCAAATTTATACAATGAAATGTTTAATTTCAAATAGAACTATTCATTTAAAAGAATTTATCACGTGTCATCAAAATTTACAGATCAGAGTAAAATGTTAACTGATAAGAAGAAGAAGAAAAATAAAAATGTTCTAATTTTTATTCTTCATTCAAATAGAAACTGACAATCAATGTAGTGAATGTTACTTAAAATTAATATTTTATCAAAATAACATCTAACTGTAGACTGATGAAAGAACAAAAAAACCATAGAGTAATACGATTACTTTTTTTTTCCTACTTTCAGCAACAACCTTTTTTTTTTTTTGTTTTTTACATTTGAAAAAGAAAATTCTCATATTATTGACATAAGATATTGTTTTTTTTTTATTGCTAGAAAAAACAAGTGATAGTCATTATTCAAAAACAACAAAACATAAAATGAAATGTTAATAGAAACCGTAGTTATAATATTCGAGTATAGGACTGACTTTATGAATATTATTTGAATATAATTTATAAATATTAAAATTTATGTTTACTGAGAACATAGAAATTCATCAAAAAAAAATGGTTTTCTTTTTTTTGTTATTATTATTAGTTTTTATTTGATGAATATTTTGTAACGATAATAAAATCAATGTTTATTAAATTATTACTAATCGATCAATAAATGAATCTTTTAGACAAGCAAATTACTCTGATACTAAGTTCTAGAGATATATTGCAAAATCAAAAAACAATTTTTGCATATATATATATATATATATAGGTTTAATGACCCATAGAGTATTTTGAATATTTCAATAGAAAAGAATGTTTTTTTGTCAAGATATTGAGTTTTCAAGTGGAATCGATTTTTAATATCAATGTCTATATCAAAATATTTAGTTTTTTAGAAATTTGATACTTCAATAAAAGAATATTTGTATTGGCTGAAACCTTCAAGATATTATATGTATCATTAAGCCTATATACAAGCATAATTTTAAGTCGGAATTTTTTTTTCTTGAGTTTTTAGTATGTCGTTTAAGTTATAGATCGATTATAACTTGACTGCTAACCGTTCATAGAGGAGAATCCTTGTGGACTTTTTCTAGATGTGCAAAATCTTCATGTAAGCCTAATACGAACTCAAATAGTGGATATCAGTTCGAATGTTTTTTTTTTCTCGTCAGTTGAAGTACAAAGTTCTTCTTTCTACCTTTATTCATATACAAAATATTTTTATTATATTTCATTATTAAAGCTGTATATAACTTAATCTATATTTTATATGAATAGAAACATGCTCGATTTCATTTGTACTGGTAAGAACTTTAAATATTCTTAATCCTATATGATATCCATTTTCATCATTATTTCTATTCATATTCTCCTATTACTTTATATGTCAAATAGATTTTATTTCAATGAACTCATATATATATATATTATATATAAATTTAATATTTTATAGATTGTATTTATTATTAAAACAAAAGAATATTCTTTAAGAATATGTATATTAATGATTACTCTGATTTATTATTGATCTTTTTTGTCTCTATAGTATTAACCATAAAAATAACTAGTGAATTGTTATATGTATATCATCAACAAGATAATTATCATGTTTGTAGATCAAGTGATTAATCGATAAATAAATCCCAATTAAAAACAAGATAAAAAGAATTGTTTAAAATAAAAACCAAACAGAAAATATTCATTTAACTATAACAAGTTTCTTAATTGGAATATATAAAATATTTTTCAAAAAAAGAAAAGTAAATTAATTCTTCAAAGATAAAAATCTATTCACAAGTTCAATATAATATTTTCTTATAATGTATAACTTCTATTATGAAAATAATTCTTTCTATAATATCAAATGAACAATAAACATAAACTTATTGAGATCAACTTTTTATTTTAGATAATTGTTTTCAATAAAATATTTATTTACAACAAATAATGTTTCTATTAATCATTATAGAACATTTTGTATAAAACAAAAGAGAGAAAAAAAAAAAGAACATTCTCATGATTTTGCTCGTTTGTTTTATAGACGCCTACTATTTATTTATGTAAATGTAAAAAGGACATTATATGAGTGTATTGCAACATTATTGCGTTAGTCATAAAGAAAAACATTTCCTATTTTCAAGGTGATCAATAGTGTATTCTATTCAACTCTATTGAACCGAGACAAGAGAATAATTTTTTTTTTTCAACTATCATGATTAATATGACCAAAATATTATGACAATCATACCAAGCCTATGGATACGACCTTTTCACATATATGACAAATCATTACCAAAATACAACATGTTTTTTCAAAATTCATTAAAAAAAAAAAACTTTGCTTACATGTCATAAGTTTTAACTACATCTTATGTTTAATGTTATACATTGAAGATAAGACATGATCTCAACAGAATGACTTTCATAATATTTGATAGTGTTGAAGTTAAAACTAAACTTATATATAACATATTTTGAATTTCATTGTGAAATATTATATACGTCAGTGGCGTAGCCAGGAATTTTTGAGTCATGGGCAATTCATCAGTCGAACTATTTTGAGTTACGGGCAGCTAAGGGCAACCATTATGATTTCAAAAATATCTATGGGCAATAACTGTTCAAGCACTGCATAGCTCAATAAATCCATAGGAAATAACTTTTGGAGCTATGGGCAGTTGCCCAATGGCCCTATCCCTGGCTACGCCACTGATATACGTTATAGTTTCATGTGATGCATTAACATAGTTTGTTCTTTGTATTTTGAAGTATAAGTTTTCTTATGCTTGTTGTTAATATGATCGAAATTTACACTCAAACTACTATACTATAGAAGAATAACAAGCTAAGCAAAATAAAAAGTCTTGTGTGATAGGGAAATTTTCAAGTTTAGCTTCATAGTTTTCATAGACAAAAAATAATACTCAATAGCAATTCGATTGTTTTTGAATGGATTATTTAATCTTAAAATTTCTTTTAATCTCGTATGATAAAAAATTTGTTTTCTCTAGTTCTGTCAATTTTCAGAATGTGAATGACAAATAAAGAAATTGGTTATACAATATATTTTAATATTATCTAGCTGTAAATATTGATCTTTTAGATCTTACCTGCTTAATATATTAGAATTCATCTAAGATAAATCCTTGATTTTTCTTCTATGGCAATGAAGACTTATTAAAAATATTCAATCTGAAATAGAATCATAAAACTTGATCGAAAACAAATGAAGATATTGAACTTTGCTTTTTTTTTGCATATTAGAATATAGCGATATAATAAAGTTGCAATTCATTCATATATACAAAGAACAATTTTCCTACGTTTCATACACTAAAAGAAGAAAATACTAAAACTTCACTGGGATAAATCGAAAATCTATCAAGCTTGGAAGGCGAGCTGATCCCTCTCCTACTCAGCACACTTCTTAATTAAATAATACTTATTACAAAAAATAAATACAAGTTGAATAATACCTGATCGAAAGGAAATATCCAACATTTCGAACGCTATGTTTCTATATTCATTGCATGTTCGTTTAGTAGAGTAAAAAAAAAAATATTCGAACTATCTCTTCGAATATTGGATTAAACCCATCTCGGTTGAAAAAATCGAGCAACTACTAGCAAAACACTTTTCAACTGGCCTCCTGAGTCATTGACCTTGGAATATACTTGATTCATATATGCATAATTACTTCTTGTCCTTATCATTATGTTCGCAATAAACTAATGATAGAATACTAGACATAAACGATTCTTTTTATTCAAGAAAAAAAAAAACCATCAAGTAGCTGATATCCAACATAAATGTCTAACTAAACTAAATAATATAAATCATAAACAAGTTATAAAAAGTTCAAGAACAATTTTCTATATTTTTTTTTTGTCTATTAAGTCGTCAAGCAATTTGTTTGAAATATACAAAAAATAAACATAATTTTTTGTATTGATCTCGAAAAATTTTTTCGATGGATGAATTTTGTCTCATTTTATTTATAACCAATGAAACTTATGAAATAAAAGAGCGCCATCTAATCTTTTTGAATGATATATATATATGAAAATAAAATCATCAAATTCTAAATATCTTTTAAATTTTATTTTTATTACATTGAAAAAACAAAAAAATTAAATTTAATACAAAAAAAAAGCACAATAATATACATTCTGTCTTTCTCATTCAAATTAATTTGATCATATGATTGGTTAGTGAACATGAGACAAAGACATAAGCGTAGATACCCCCTCCCCCCGTTGGAAAGAAATAATCTAACATAGTAATTTTTTTTTGTTT